TCCCCCCCCCACCCCCCACCCCCGCCTGGCCCTCTCTTTCCAACCCCTGTCACCGTTTTATGTGAAATTTCTAAAGAAAGATTACAGACAAAATAACACTGAAGGAACATTCAGGTACAACACTTGATACATTTATTTCCTGGTGCTTCAGGTTTGACAACGTACAAATTCTAACAATCGTGTAACTTTATCTGTGTACCTACTAGTTGACGTGCTTGTGAGTATTGCACATGAAGTACCGAGTCAGAATAAAAGTCATTTCTCCTCATATGAATATATTTTAAAAAAACTAGCCGAGGATTTTAGTTCTGGTTACACATTACAAACTATTCCACCTCATCTGGTAGTGCGACGCCATCAAATTTTCACAAAAAAAATAACTTTTCAGTTTGAACAGTATATTTACAATAATTCTAACCCATAGAATAATTAAAATGGTTATTAATTAATTCCTTCAGTGCCTATAAATCAACAATTACTGTACTGAAATTAAGAAAAACTGTCTGGTGCCTTAAAATGTGACTTTTCTTCCAAACACAGACTGTATCTCAACATGAGCTGGGTAAGTATTGCACTTTCTAAAAAAATCCATATACAGGTCTTTATTTTCTCTATATGACTGGTGCAATAGTTAAGGCTGACTGACTTGTGTATAAAATATATCATTTCTTAAATGCTGTTCACAATGCTCGACTCTTAACTTCAAACTCCACTGAACTCCAGTCCAAAAAAAGTTAAATAAAAAACTGATCTGCATGTAAAATGGCAGGCAATGTCAGGTGAGGAGCAATCTAAGGTGACTTCAAAACAGGGTACTAACTAGTCCGATGGTCAGATACTTGAATACTTCCCCACGGGATATGTATTCATTGTCTATTGGTGGATTAGATGACAAGCTTTGTAGTGGGTTGCCACATTTGACCCTCGGACTAGTTAGTCCCCTACTCTGAATGGGGCCTACCCTTCCCTTCAACCTGTAACAAAATTTTACATCTACGGCTGTATTCCCAGAGCTTTTAGATCGATCTATCCCCGCAGGGAGTCTCACTAGATTACTGTCAGATAATCCGGCTTAAATGTCCGTCCCGCCTACTACAAGCTGTAAGGGGGTAATTAACTTTCGGGTCCGCTCGGCTGACAGCTATTTAGCGTGAACCCCCAGGGAGTTAGGTCGATCTAAAGTGGATCGATCTAATTTCTGGAAATGGGGTCTACCATTGATAACACATTCACTACTGCTTTACAGTACAATATAGCAGTAGCTGAAAAAACAGTTTTATCTTATATCCATCATATCTTGTAACATATAACATAAATGAGCAATAATGTGCATTAGCTTGGTAGTTGGATCATTTATGATAATTATATAACACCAGCTGAAAACAATCTCATACTGTTAGCTTGATAATAGTAAGAACTCAAGTCAGTCTGATGTAGGCTATGTCCATGCTGGTCGCAAGCAAATGGTATGAAATTATTTTCAGCTTGCGGTGAATAATTATCATATATGATATTCTACTATAGTTAAATTTAAACATATAACACTAATTATTCATTCAATGTATTATATTTTGAAAGACATTTTAGCTTGTAACTTCATAGTTTCTTTTATACACCTCACTCCATTCATAATTAAGCATATTAATGACCTCATACATCTACAATGATGGCATTTATGTTGAGACAGCAGATGTGTGATTTTTCTCATCTTATATCTTCCAATTTTTCTGTAAAACTTCAATAAAATCACAACCCCTGCTCAAAAATTACAATTTGTATCAAAAAAATATGCATATACTTCAAGTTTTTTTCACAAAGCTTTCACAATTCCGATTTGACATTTTTCTCCTGGGGCAGCTCCCTCAGCACTTTATATCAACAGAAGTATTAACATATTTTCAGTTTTTTCACTAAAGGTTTCACAATTCACATTCAATAATTTCCTCCCACAGCTGGCCTACTCTCTCTACCTGCACCACAGAAGGACATCTTCACTGGATATCCAGGTATTCCAGGTGTTCTGACAGATGTAAACTTCAAAAATTTTGACCATCTTCTGAAATACCCAGAAGACAGCTTCCGTCCGCACTTGTATGTACAATAAGAACTTTTACACAGTGCTCCAGAAATAACATCACAGGTGTCATTTCCTCACATGGCAGATTATATGGCAATTAATAAGTAATAACATTGTAAATTTGAAACTGCACAACACTGGGTTTCATATATCAATGGAATACATCAGATATTAGACCACGGTGAAAGTGAAGAACAAAAGACTCAGACATGGTGTAACTCGCATAACCGCACGTCTCGCATGAATGCGTTATAACCTGTTCATGGACCGTGGTCTAAATAAGATAGACCCCGAGTCAGAGGGGGTTATGTGACATCCACTCGTGCTTCACACTAGTGTATGCCACATAACCCTCGCTGACTCGGGGTCTATCTATTACTAACATGATGACAATTATCCCCAAATCTAATACACTTCACATACACCAAAGGTATCATCAAAATGAATTAACTTTTTGAACTAGTCAAATAAACATATGCCTTTGGAATCACAATCTACTCTTTATTCAGAATAACCTATGATTTAAATTCTATGGGAATTCAATAATTCTGTTCTTTTGCTTAGAAAACCAGTCTGTATTTGTCCGACTTTAGTGAAAATAATCTACTCTCAAATCCTCAGCACACACTCACTGAAGTATTGAGCAGACAGGAATGCCTCACATGGACCCTAGCAGAGATTAACTTACATTACCTACATTGAAAAATATAAAAAAAAAAAAAAGCTATCACACTTACTACATTTCCACTTAATTTTTATCCTCTCACATGATGTACTTAGCCACCAATAGATGGCAGTTCAGTAGTTATCCTGGGCAAATGTAATATTATCTACTGTTATACCACTAATAAACTTTACATAACACCAATATCATATTATTTAACCATAATTATATTAGTTTCTCAAATGAGTGAATGTTTTTGAGTTATAATTTCAATAGAATTAGAATGCTATCTATGTACACCTTTGATATTGGACCTTACATTAGCAACTGACCTTCTCTGCAATTTCCTCACACGCCAGAGATACTGGTCAAATAAAAGATGAAAAAGATTTCCTCATTCTTGATCTGGAGGAAAACTGGAGCAAACATGGCATCAAAGAGGCTATCTGGGAGCAACGGAAAACCCATCACTCAACAGAAAAGGAGACCCCAGGTTTTAACTCTCACACACATGGGAAGGGGCACTGGAGACGATTGCCAGTCATGTGACAGTACCAGTAGATCAGGTGACCAATCCATCCAGGCCATTTTCCTAGCGAGAAGTCTCAGGTCAAGACTGCAACTTCAGTCAGTTGCTAACTCAAGTTCCAGTATCAGAGTTACACACAGTTATCATTACATTAGTTTCTCTTCCAAACAAGAAGAATTATCAGTTCTTTCTGAAGGGCAACTTCACACAGTTTTTCTTCTCTCAAATGTTTCAACCAAAGCTGATATGATTTCAAACGCTATACACAGAATACAGGTTCTAATGCTTTGCTCAAATGTATGAGATTCTTCAGTTTACCACTGTGTTACAATGTGCGTCACTAAGTCCTGTCAGTTCACAGCAACTTGGAACATCTTGACTCAAAACCCAAGTCAAAGGTTAGTCTTTTTCAATAATTCTTGTCTAAAAATATTAATCTAACTTTAGGAAGGATAAATGTTTAGTAGTGCACAAATTTTTACATCTATACACTGTAGGAAGCCACATAAACACATTAAAAAGTACCTCTCAAATTTTGTATTTATGAGTTCCCATCCATAAACTTGTGATTAACTCTCCATCCCCCTGCTGTGATCCTGGATTCACTTGCAGTTAGGGTGGAATAAGAGTCGAAAAAAAATTGTAAAACAAGTGACGAATGTAACTGTAAACACTGTAGAAAGCACATCTTTTCTACTGAAATTATCTAAGTGCTACAGAAAAACTTAACATGCCTTTGACAATCTTGTTTTTAACAACATCAAACCATTTGAGCTGCTAGCACAGTTGGAAAACACATGGGAAACCACTATGGCTCAGATCAACTCTTCAGACTTATTCTTGGTATTCCTGGAGCTGTAGTGTCTGCTCCTCGGCCAGTGGTTGTCTCTTGTAGTCAGGGTGACTGACCACGTAGATGACCACCAGACCCAGACACAGCAAGGCCAGTCCCAGCATGTTGGTCAGTAGTCTCTCCGGGTCCTGGAGACTGGATGTCCTGTAATGACCACAGGGGGGAACCTTTTATTATCCCAATTAATAGTCATTTATCAGAGACCATTCAGAACAGAAGATCCAAGGACTTACTGATCCAGGGATCAAATAGGGCAGACCCTACATGAAAGAAGAGATTACTAATCTGCTGATGGTCTCCACGCCTCAACACATGCCATTAATGGAATAAATGGACGGTGCATGTGGAAGCTTACATATTTTATTATCTAAAATAAATTTCATTTAAAACGTAAACTAATTTTAAACAAATTAACAATATCTGATTTCTTCCCTATATACAAACAGTTGCTAGAGCTTTCATGCATATATCTCAAATAATGTTCGTTTAATATAAGACCTGTCATACTTACAAACCAATAAATCCTATTTTTTCTATCATCCCCATGAAGGCTGTGGCTATAGCCATGACGTATATCGCCATTCCCCAGAAACGGTGGAGAGGCATGTACAACTCTCGTGCATTCTGGCTCAGCTTGGGCCATAGGTAGCTTACAAAGCCAAAGACAAACTGAAAGAAAATCCCAGTCATTATTACATTAAGGATGTAATTTCATCACTCATTGTCATTAAGTAAAATTCAAAGCACTTGAGAAACAAAAAGAAAAGCAAAAGTTTTTTTTTGCACAATGTTTAAGATAAATAGCTTGGGTAGAGTTCATGTTACAATAACAAACCATCTTCATACTTGGTTTAAAACTTATCTAACCTTCTGACCAAAGCCAAACTACTTATATTTTCAACTATTTCTTAACCAGGTATGCGACTGATTAGGTATTTTAATCAATGAACTAAACACTAATATTCATTTACAGGGACAAACTTTTCAAAATTATCAAGAGGCCTATTTTCAAGTTTCACACAATTTTCAAAGTGAAAAACATTATGTCGGCGGAGAATTGCCTTCTACAAAAATTTTCAAGACAGACTTTCAATTTTCGAGTTTTTATCGTAGCAAGTGTCTATCCCAGCAGTACCTGACTGGCAAAGAGGATCACAGTGGCCAGACCCATCCAGGCGTGCCAGCTGTACAGATTGGCAATGGGCTTGGGTTTGGCGAGATTGTGAGAGTCGAACACGGCTTTCAGTCCCACGGCCGCAAATATGATGGCTCCTGCATGTAGGCAGGTGTGGACTATCTTGATGTACAGCTTCCTCTCATAGCGGAAGACGCGGTACGCTAACATGGCTGGAAAAAGATTTTAGTGTTAGATCTTTTTTGTTCTGGAACTAGACCTAGTACAGAACACATTATATAATAACCATGACAATGCTTATGAATTACTACTTGCCATACACATTTTAATGACAACATATGCCATGCCAATGTTCAAACTTGACATCTTATCTGGTGAGTAAATTGAGCTATTGGATAAAATTTACTCTTCTTACGAGAGCCTAGTATGTTTAACATTATATTATACATTTTCTTAAAAACAATGCAAAATTTCCACTTTTTCTTAGCCAAATAAAAACATGTGAAACATTTGAATGAAACTATAAATTTAACTAAAAACAACACAAATTTTCCACTTTTTCTTAGCCAAATAAGAACGCGTGGAACATTTGAATCAAACTATAAATTTCACTATAATTTAATTTTACACTCTTTTTTAGCCAAACTAGACTGTGTAGAATATTTGAATAAATTAAAAGTGACCAAAGTGTCTAGGACACAGGAGAGGTCCCCCCCCCCCTCTGTCCACCACACTCACCATCTCCATACAGGAACACCAGCCCTAGGACCATGAACAGGGGGTGGTAGTTAAACTCTAGCCCAGGGTTCTCCATCCAGCCAAACCCCCCATGGAAGTGACCCATCCATACCCCGACCATCACCACCACCAGTACCCCCAGGATCTGTGACAGCACCACGAATAGCGTGAAGAACCGCAGCGAGGTCGGCTGAGGCTGGATCTCATCGTAACTCTTCTGCATCTTGGGGCTGCTGTACTATGGGGCTGACCTAAACCTAGAATATAAGATAAAACAAATACTTGTAACGAATCAATAATTAATAATTTCTTAATCAATTAATAAATCAATTAATCATCACAAAAATCTAATGTCTTCCTTGGTTCATAATTTGTGACCTGCCCAGAAAATGTCATAATACATCTGTACACAGAGAAACAAACTGTAACAAAAACACAACACCCTTGCCAGAGATAATAAATGAATAAAATGCCGTACTAGGCTTTAGCCAAAATGAAGGTGGTCCAGAACTTTTTTTTTGGCTAAAGAAGAATTTCACTGGTAATATAGATTAAGTTAACAAACATTTTTCATAAAAGGTAAAATCAGTTTAACTACTCTGCATAGGACTCCTACATATCATGTGAAGTCTCTGTTATTCTGAAATTCATCTTTTATACCCCTACTAGTATATATCATTGAAAACATTTATATTGCTGATCATAACCTTTATTTAATAAATAAATGTTTTTACATCAGGAAGTATAAAGTTCTATTGGCAGCACGTGTGATAAACTATATATGAAAACATAAACACAATTAATCTGCTATTCAGATGTATTGTACATAAAGTGAGAGATGAGGACCCTGAATCTCAAGGGCCAGACATGACTTATCTCAACCCAGATGTGAACATGCCAATAAAACAGAACTGTTACTACTTCCTAGTACACTGTGACATGCAGGGAGAGGACAAATATAGCGGAAAATAAAAGACATTACCACAGCTACTGTGTCATTACTTTCACCAGATGCACATTTGATGTGACATTTTACCAGATTAATTACTGAGCAGGAACAAAGAGGGCAGCAGCCAGTCACTCATGCTGGGTTAACTATTTGCCACTATCTCCTTCTGCCTAGTTCACAGCTTCTGTCCCTGTACTAGAAGTAGTCTACTAGTAGGCACCATTCAGCCTGATTTGGTCAGGAGCACTGGGACACCTCAGAATAATTCTCTACCAAATTATTTTTTTTATAATTCTGAAGACTTTTATAAATCTGCACACATGTGTTCATGTTATAAGGAAAACAATTTATGTACACAATGAAGTGTGTACACACGTGTCTGGGTGTGTCTGAGAACATGCATGCTTGCACGTGTACTGAATGTGCATCGATGTGTGTGAACCTGTGATATGTTTGTGTATGCATGTGCACATATGTGTGTGTGTGTGTGTGTGTGTGTTTTGGGTATCCCTTTTGTGAAACAATCTAATGTTCACTACAGCAACATTTGTCGCCTCATTTTGTTTAGGAGAAGGGTCTCTTTAGTAAAACATTAAAATTCAAGATACATACTAGTACAGAGTTTACTAGCAATTACTTTTCATGTCAGGCAGATACAGAAGATCAATCTTCAACACTGCCATCAGTGGTTTTATCAAGGTGTCAATATCACCAGTAGATAATTACCTGACGTAATAACACCACCCAACATAACTCTCAACATGCAGTCAGATACTACACTTCCTTTCCTTGTGAAAAATATGAGAAAGTGTCCACACAAGATTTGGATGGACTGAATGGTTTTTTTTTAAACCTTTTATATGGCTTCAAAGGGCTGTGACTGGATTATAGTAGGATTCTGTGATTATAGCAGAATTCTGTCCATAGATTCATGTGTTTTCAACGTGTTAATTATGTTATAATGCAAGATAATGAAATGTATTCAATTATTTCCAGCCATTCATACAGGAAAAAAAATGGAAATAATGATCTAAAGACTAGAGAACAGATCAGTATGACTAGATGATAGTACACCTGGCTTATTAACAGTATAAAGACTTAAGTATAAAGACCTAATCAAAGAAGTCTGAGTGAATGCGGCGACAAAAATCAATACACAGCAGATGCAAGATTGCAGCCAGTATAATATGAGGTTGACTGCAGCTTCAACTTCTCCTGGCAGATTAAATATAAACTGATCTGGGGTTTGTTAATTGGGATCACGCATCAATAGAAAACACACCCACGATTAGACTATACCGCTTTTTTTCTTTCCTTCAATTTCTCCTGGCAGATTAAATATAAACTGATTTGGAGTTTGTTAATTTGGATCACAAATCAATACACACCCATGATTAGACTACTAGTAGATTGCTCTCTTGCTTTCTCTCTCATTTTCTCTCTCTCTCTCTCTCTCTCTCTTTCTGTCTCACTCTCCCTTCCTCCCTCTCTCTCTCTCTCTATTTTGCTCTCCCTTTCTCATTCTCTCGTTCTCCCTTCTCTCTCTCTCTCTCCATCCCTCTCTCTCTCTCTTTCCATTTTTCTTTTATCACATATAATGGAAAAGATATGTTACCATGGCTGAGAAATCTCCCACAACAAGATTCTGGCATTTGGATAAAAGAATAAGCAAAGCAACTGATAATTATGTGTCAACATATATCCTCACTGGGTGAGCAGGAATGATGAACAATTTTTTTTTTCATTTTTGCCACTCAACAATCCACGGTTTGGAAAGAGGGTCATTAATGTATATTAAGCATTGGGTAAGCAGGAATGATGAACAATCTTTTCATTTTTTCCACGTCACTCAACAATTCATGGCTTAGAAAGAGTGTCATTAATGTATATAAAACAAAAATACAGAATTATAAACAATGTAAGCCTGAAGCAATTACTAGTACCCGAAGCAATTATCTGCTCACAATTCCACTGGTAGGAACAGATATATATCCACTGGTATTGGGTTGCTGTAGAATGACATATGGGGAGAGTTTGTGGCTGATAATTACAATTCTTATGTGAACAGCATCAAGAACTAGTACTGGCTTCTATTTTCAATGTTTATCAAGTATTATTAAATTATTCCTTTCGAAAGAAGTTGGTACTATTGAGTCAGTTGATTTGGGTGTAGAGACTCATTCAAATGCCAATTATACTCACACTTCATGTCAAATAATGAATAAAATGATGTCAAATGACACATACAGAAAGATGTAGTCTTCATGAGTTCTCAGGTAGAATAACAACCTACACATCCCATTATAAACTGACTACTAGTACAGAAACTGACTACTAGTATAGATGTGACACTATAACAGGCTGACTTGGGGCATTTTGGTTCAATATTCTGAGTGATCATTCTTGATAGCATGAATGTGAACTCGGGATGAATAGACTCACTGTGAACTGTAGGTGCATGTATGAACATTTGTGTCAGTGTGTGTGTTTTTTTTTTATTTTATTTTATTTTATTTTTTTTTTTTTTTTTTTTTTTTTTTTGTGCAAAGACTCGAGCTCTATGTGGATTACATCAAATCAGAGCTACTTGCTACAGGTAAAAGTTCTTGAATTTTCAAAAATTCTAAAGCATCAGACATCTTTATCTAAGACACCTACCAAAAGAAAGGGCATATTCAATTACCTTACTGTTGTGTTCATTTCTTTCAAAACCAAAAGGAAGAAAACTGAAATAATATGACTCAATGTCAAATGAGACATCACAAAGATAAGACCTTTATAAAAGCATGTATTTCTCAGTAGTGAGCTACCCAGACAACAGACCAGCAGGTTTTCCAGGTACTGTTACCAGCAATGTTATTTTCTTTTCAGAAATGAGTATTAAGTTTCTACTATCAAGGATGTTATTTTTTCATCCCTGGCTAACTCTCAAAAAAAAAAAAAAAAAAAAGGAAAAAAGAAGGTTGTTATAATGGACTGTAGACCTGAATAAGCAGCTAGCGAACAGCATTTTAATAACAATAACATATAGACATTGTTCAACCTTATGCTGCCTAGAACTGAAAAAAAAAAACTTCATATTTTTTATATATAATACATTATCTCAAAAACATTTTCACAAGATACATGCCTTAATTAGTCTGCAGTTGCTCTTTGGTTCTCTGACCCTGAGGTAATCAAATATACCGAACCATATAGCAACAGTGGTCAGTGACCTCAATGGACAATAGACTTTAATCAATTTACTCAAATATTTGAATGACAATCACTTTGTCATACTACTAATACTATAGTCCAAATACTGCACAACATGAACTCTGTTGTCGTCTGATTATAGTGATAAGCATGTTGATAAAGTCCTGTTGTCCATCAGTTGTAGCAAACCAGAATACTAATTGTATCAGTTTATTAGGTGATTACTAGTACATATAGGTCCACATGTAGATATGTGACCTGCATGGTAGTAGTGTGTGACTTCTAACAGATATAAAACTGGTACAAGCAGGGGTGGAAAGCAAGCATAATGGTTCACCAGTGTAAAATGTGATAGTTATTATATAATTTAGTTCATCTGGGATCAGACCTTTGACAAATGGAAAAAGCCAGTGCATACAGGAAGAATGAAAATTTTGATGCACCTCAATTAAGAAGAAGTCCATGAATACAAAGTTTAAGAAAACTGACAGAGGACAGTTTAGTGAGAATGGTTCGGCGCGTCTGCAAAATAAATTACGGTAATAAACAAGGCAGCAAAGCTGTCAAATGTACAGACAAAGAACAGAAAATAAAGATGCAAATAAGTGAAAAATTAAATTTNCTGTGTCTGTACATAAAAATAATTTAAAATATTTGAGTCAGTAGCCTGGTGTGCTAATACAATACCCAGGTTTTTTTTACTCGTAGGTCTTCACTGTTTAACGTGTAGGTGTCCAGTTTGTCTTAGAGTGACCCTTCACACTATCACAGTAATCAGTTTGAAACTGTCAGTGTACTGTCGCCGACACAACAATCAACATGCAAGAATTCTGTGAGCTTCACACTCGAATATTGCAATTTAAACCCCGCGCAGCACAAATAACTGCAATTAAATAACTTTACTCACGCTGAAGACAATGTCCTAATCTATACACAGCAGCACAAGCGCTGAACTTCTCCTCTGTCAACTCGTCGTAAACATATGGCAGAAAAACGAGCTGTTCGCAGATTTTTTTCCGGTTTCTGAACAGCGGAAGTTGATCAGATGCGCGCGACTCTGGTTGACCTTTCGCTGAGGTCAAGCGAGTTACTTCCGGGTTGTATAAAACAAGTGTGGCATGCCTCGTTGAAATTGTCTCAGTGAAATTGTCTGAAGGGTGATGTACGTGCTCAAATTGTCTGAAGGGTGATGTACGTGCTCAGCAGCAAGAGGCAGAGATGAGACATGTGGTTTTGAACACCGGATGTTCCATGCCTATACTTGGCTGTAAGTGAGAGAACAGTTTCATTAGCTCTGTATGTATAAATTCAAATTACTGTTTTTCTTTTTATCAAGAGCTTGTAAAATATGTGTAAAATATTAAATATTGGAGGTAATACCCACATATTTTACAAGCTCTTGATAAAAAGAAAAACAGTAATTTGAATTGGCTGTAAGTGTTTTGCATGTCAGGGGTTATGTGGTTTATAATAAGACAAGTTAGAACGGGTGAAAATTTATAATCAGACAAGTTAGAACGGGTGAATATTTACTACAGGGTATTTAGTACTGCTAGTACTAGTGTAAAAGATGAAATTGAAAGTGACTTGTCTGTATTATTTTGAAAATATAACTTATGTATGGCTTACATGTGTCAAAAAGCGATATAGCATATAATTTTGTTTACGAAGATATTGTAGCGATTTGGGGTGAGTGCAGAAAAATCACCGACCAGACCAGGAATCAAACCCGGGACCCCTCGCTTACAGGGCGAGTGCTCTTACCTACTGAGCTACCCGGCCGGTTCTACCTGCCCCTGGCACTACAATATTGTTTATGTTATTGTTATATTGTTAAGATATACTGTACACTGCTAACAAAAAGGGATTGCCCATTTAAGTACAGTGTATTTATACATGCACTGGTACAGTGTACATGTACATTGTAGATATGTGATACACATGTACTACTAGCATATGGAGAATTCATAAAAATCTCTGTTGTGTAATTTTTACCCTAGATGACATACACGTGTTAAACATCAATCGAATGATATAGCATATGATTTTGTTTACAAAGATATTGTTATATAATTAAGATATACTGCTGAACTACCATTTTGTGCAGAGAAGGCGGGACTATAGTACGGATATAGATTAACCACCCTAACCTTACGTATTGTATGTAAAACATAATGACAGGGTAAACACAATAGGTCCCATTGCTAAGAGTACCGTAAGGCAGCTGGGGTAAGTGAAGTAAGTTGGCCTCATTTAAGATGATGAGCAGACGCTTATCTAATTATCTGCACACAACCACTGTCTGTCTACATGTAACACGCTTTCTTTGGTCAGTGTTTTCTTGACATTTACCTGTCCTTTTGATAGTATTTACCTTCTTAACGATGTCGAGATCTTGGTTTCAAGGCGTGACTCTTATTGTACCACCAGCGTAGGCGCTGGCGGTACACATGGTTTTAGGCCCGACCCGCATGTTCCGCCGGCTCCTCTGGCTCCGCCGCCATGTTACCGTAACCGCTTCTCCTCCTAGACTACAAGGGCCTGCGTATCCATCTCTTGGATTTAGGTCACCTATAATCTCAACTCATTCCATGTAAAATTTGGGCTTTGTCGGTGCTGGGGTCTATGTGTGGCGCTCATTGCAATGCACCCTTGCCCAAAAATGGCAAAATTAAATGCTAATTATCTACCATACCGAAGGAATTATGGGAAAAAATTCTACAAACAGCTGACCGAAAGTCATATGTGGAGATTTCAAATATGCTCTTTATTTCAAGGTCAAACGGGCCAAAATTTTCTAAAAAGGGAATTTTTTTGCGAAAAAAAAATTATTTCTGCCTATTCTAAAAGACTTTGGTCAAATTCCAGTTTATTAGTACCACCAGCGTGTAAGCTGGCGGTACTCATGGTTTTAGTCCCGACCCGTCTCGTACAGCTCCGCCGGCTCATGCGGCTCCGCAGGATGGCGTGGGATACAAGTCACCGTTACCGCTTCTCCTCCTAGACCGCAAGGACCTGTGTCCCCATCTCTTGGATTTTAGTCACATATAATCTCAACTTGAACCCCCTGGTTTTTTTGTCTCAGTCGGTGCATTGGCCTGGGCGTGGCACTCGTTATAACGCACCCTTGTCAAAATTTTTGAAAATTCAATGCTAAATATCTCCCATACCGAAGGAATTATGTGAAAAATTTCTACAGATGGCTGACCGAAAGTCATATGTGGAGATTTCAAATATGCCCTTGGATTTGACCTTTGACCTTTATTTCAAGGTCAAACGGGCCAAAATTTTTCTAAAAATGGGATTTTTTTGCAAAAAAATTATTATTTTATGCCGATTTTCAGAAACTTCACAGATCTAACTTATAATATTATGGACAGGTGTTACCCTTAGGGTCTTCTTTCATCTTCGTGAGTTTTGGGTCAATTGGTGCATTTTCACGGGCGTAGCGGCCATTAGATGCCAAAACTGAAAACTCTTTCAAATTCTGGAACTGTTAATGCCAGAGACCTCTTGTTTTTTGCATTTTGTAGAGCTTGTCAAGCACAACACTGAAGGTGGTGTCCGTTTTTTGTTTTCGATACGGCTTACGCATTGTACTATATCGACAGTTCAACATCCAATATTTGGTGGTGAAAATAAAATGTGAAATACTACAAAATTAGCAGAGATATGCCCATAGTTACTATTGAACTTGAATAGGAAGTCATATACTGGCAATCTAACTGTGATCCTGAAATTGACCTCTGACCTACTTTACACCATGAACTGAACTTTGCAAATTTTCTAGCCCTTATATCTCTTAAACTTTCAAAGATACGCCCATAGCTACTGTTGAACTTGAGTAGGAAGTCATATACTGGCAATCTTACTGTGACCTTTAAATTGACCTCTGACCTACTTTTCACCATGAACTGAACTTTGCAAAATTTTGTTCCCTTTTATCTCTAAAACTGGCAGAGATAGGTCCATAGTTACTATTGAACTTGAATAGGAATTCATATACTGGCAATCTAGGAGTGACCTTCAAATTGACCTTTGACCTAAATTTCATCATGAATTGAACTTTGCAAATTTTGGTTCCCTTTTATTTCCAAAACTGGCAGAGATAGGTCTATAGTTACTATTGAAGTTGAATAGGAAGTCACATACTAGCAATTTATCTGTGACCTTCAAATTGACCTTTGACCTACTTTACACCATAAACTGAACTTTGCAACTTTTTTAATGCTTATACTTTCAAAACTGGCAAAGATACGCCCATAGTTACTATTGAACTTGAATAGGAAGTCATATACTGGCAATTTACTGTGACCTTAAAATTAACCTTTGACCTACTTTTTACCATGAACTGAACTTTGCAAATTTCCATTCCCTTTTATCTCCAAAACTGGCAGAGAAAGGTCCATAGTTACTGTTGAACTTGAATAGGAAGTAATGCACTGGCAATCTAACTGTGACCTTGAAATTGACCCTAGACCTAATTTTTATGAACTGCTTTTTGCATGTTTTCTGGCCTTTAAATCTGCAAAACTTGAAAAGAAATGCCCAAGGTTACTATTGAACTTGAATAGAAATTAATATACTATGATGTTGAAATTGACTTTGACCTACTTTTTCACCATGAACTGAGCTTTGCATATTTTCTTACTCCTCATATCTTCAAAACTAGCAGAGATGTGCCCGGTGTTGCCCCTAGGTTTTCTCTTTTGTCAGCATATATGCACCACTGACAACACATTTTAAGGAAAACCAATAGGCCTTTTGTCTAGAGAATCACAGGAGTGATCAATGGTAGGAAAATGCTGGTCAGTTCAAAAATCTGCTTGATTGTACCATTTTTATTCATATATTTTGGCATGTTTTGAGAACTCTTGTTGATTGCATTTTATAGAGCTTGTCAAGCACAAGACTGGTGATGGTGTACGTCCCTTTTTTTTTTTTTGGGGGGGGGGGGTTCCATACGAATGCGCTTACTCCAGCTGGTGGTACAATATCCGAGGCGGTATCGCCTCTCTGATCCTCTAGTTTTTAACTACACTATCATAAACTGCATTTGCATCATTCAATTGGTCTGTAAGCTCTAGATGGCTTAAAATATCAGCAGACTCTAATTGGATTGGTTTCTACCACACTCAAAAGCTTCATTCAAGTTGTCTTTTTTCTTGATCACTGCCTGATAGTTATCAAATTCAAACATTAAAATTTTCATTTTATTGTAGAGTTTAGTCATCTGTTCCATATATGCAGCTCTGGACAATTTTAATGTCTCTGCCCTTTCACTTAACACCTCTATGCGTATTACTGGGGTCCTCACTCATGCAGCCATGATTATGAGCCTTGGTAGGCACTCCTTGAACTCTAAGAAATGTTTCACTTTGTAGACAGACAGACAGGTAACAAGAGGAAATGCTAATGGGTTGTACTGTATTCTTTATTCTTCGTGAATCAATCGTGAAACATTGAAATTCCTATTTCTTCAATAAGTTGGCTATGTACCGGTCCATTCATTTTCATTCTCTTTGAGTGTTAAAACTTTTTATTTGCTATCTTCTAAGGTCTCCTAAGCTAAGGTCTTGCCTGTCTCACTACTTTAATTTGTCTGCCAAATTCAGCACAGAAAAGGCTAGCAGGTCTTGTGGACTACTTCTCACTTATGCAAATCATAAGTGGAGAGACTGAGATTGTGCTAGTTGCACTGCTAGTACTGCCAGTGCAATCATTGCACCTATATAATCCATTACATGTATGTATTTAATAGTATATGCACTGGTAAGGTATGGTACACATGCACATACAGTATACTACTAATATATGGAGAATTCAAGAAAGACACTGTAGTGTAATTTTTACCCCTATTCCAGTTTAACCCCCTTTTACACCCATGCATCACATGTACATAACTCTCACCACGCATGTGCATACACACACATGTACACACAACTTCAGATTAGATCTGCCAGAATATTGATCTAATGTAATTTAAATAAGGCATGCTTAACATTTGCCTGGGATAGAATTGGCAAAAAAATATAGTGGAGGCAAAAATAGCAATGTTTACTTGAGAGATGAACTCAGAGCATAATCGTAAAGTCCTGGAGAAACATTCAGAGCCACTGGTCAGGGACCACTTGCCAAACCACCACAGGTTACAGCCAGACAACGCTTATCTGCATACGGGGTTATGAGTACAGAAGAGTAATGAAAGAATCTACTGGTTCAAGGCACCCCTTGAGTCTCAGGACTTAGATCCTGTTGGAAATGTCTGGCCCCCGTTTCACAAAAAAAAGTTAAGTCTGGTTCTCTGGCAAAGAATTGAATTACGTACCAAGGTTACAAGGTCACATGGGCACATCTTACCCTATCAGGAGCAGTGTAACAGCACTCTCATGGAAATCCTAGTCAAGTAAGCCAGGGAACTGACTTAAGCTTTTCTTGTGAAACTGGGGCCAGGTCTACCAAGAAACACTGTGTACATCATAAAATTAGATTAAAAAAAAAAGACCATACAAATACTGGTGGATGGGATGAAGGACATTTGGACAGCTATGAGGACAGTGGGATGCTTGAAATCTGTATATATATTGATCAGTTTAACCATTTCGGAATATATGACTATTGAGATCTAGAAGAGCCCAGTGCCAGCAAGGCTACAACCTAAATATGGCGGACCTACTTGAAAGGAAGACCGCATAATCCTGTAATCAGGCCCGTAGCCAGCAATTTCACAAGGGGGGTTCTTTTTCTGAAAAAGTGGACCTTTTCCCATAAAAACTTCATGTACCTACACTGTAGATCAAATTTTACCCATAGTAGACCTTTTCCCAGCAAAAGGGGCGGTTCTTTCAAACCCCATGAACCCCCCCTGGCTATGTGCCTGTGTAATGGTCTCTCTGCCTCTCACACGCCTCCCTACTCGTCGAATCTTGACTGGTTGAATTGAGTCGAGACTTAATTACTAGTATTGTGCCCCTGCACGGACATCGCGTGCGGAGACGTGTGAGAGGCGGAGAACCCGTCACAAGATTAAGCAGTCTTCCTTTCATGTCCCTGTAGGTCCGCCATATTTAGGTAGCGCCTTTGCTAGCACTCGTCTCCTCTCGATCTAAATGGTCCCAATTTTTTTACCTCTTTCTAGTAGGGACATTCAGAATTACTGGCTCAGAGCAAATGAGGAAGACCCTGGAAGCTGCATTGTCAAGTGGCTATCGTTCTATAGGTGAGTTAATAAAGCACAAAGACAGTTTAGTTCTGACCAATGATGTTGCATTGGTCATTGCATTAAAAAATAAAATGATATAAACCAGCCAACTTGATTGGTCATTTCAAACACATAGTTAAATGTAAGTGTTCGATAGCAGTGTTCTTCATGTATATATTTCCTTTTTCTTCCTTCGTCTATTCTGCATCAGTGAGCCAAAGCTTCTGTTTAATTTATCTGCAAGTGTTCATCAGTATTTGCCTGTGTAGTCATTACTCAGCTTAAATATCTGTGTTAGACTAACTTTCCCAGTGTCTATCTGGATCAGTTAAATCTGATAAGATTTTCAGTCTTTTGTACTGTCTTGAGATTTTAAGTTTAGAGAAACTGATGGATTTGAGAATTGAGATGAAGACTGATGTGTATAATTTTGAAAAATTAAAGAAAATAATTAAATTTAAAGGTTAAATAAAAGGTTAAATTTTCTCAGACACAGCAGGTGGATACAACAATGAAAAAGACATAGGACATTCGCTACAGAAGCTTATGCCAAAATGCGGGTTAGAGCGCAAGAATGTGTTCCTCACCAGCAAATTAGGTTTGTATAAAAGCAAATGACCTTTCCTAAGAACCTTAATTATTTTTGTAAAGAAAAACATTTTTCTCTTTAGATACAGCTTCTGTCTATAGAAATGAGAAAGACATTGGAGATTCACTGCAGGAGCTTTTGCCAAAGTTTGGGTTAAGCAGGAAAGATTTGTTCATCACCAGTAAATTAGGTTTGTACTTGTAAAAGTTACTGACTTAACTTTTTTTTTACAGCTAAATGATACTTTATATGAACTGCAGTCACTGTGGTATCTAGCTATTTACTGCCATAATGTGGATTATAAGGAAATACTTACTTATTTTATGTACCTGTAAACTTCGTACATTAATATATGATGAAGATTATGACATTCATGATTTTCTCAACTTAAGTTTTGTATTTACTTCAGCTGTTTCCATATTCAGTAAGGGATCAATATTGAAATGATAATTCAGACATGAGCTTTTTCCCTGGAAACACTGAATCCCGAGTTTTTAAATTCAATTCTGATGGTTCCCGAGATTCATCTTGTCTGATATTCAATAAATATTCAGAGGCTTTTTTTTACACTTAGGCTCATGTCTGATAATTGGAAGTTGCTAAGTAGGAAGATACAATATATCTGATTGTTTTGGCTACCAGTCACAGGCCAGTAGGGCAGTGCACTTCAAACTGCATCCAAATAATACACCCCCATATTATACTACATAATACACACATACTCTACACTCCAGCTCCTAGAGACCAGGGCAGTGAGAAATGTCGACAAGCTTGCCTCAAGTCCATCTCAGACCTCCAGTGTGGATACCTGGACCTCTACCTGATTCACTGGCCGGGTGCGCAGGGCTTCCAACACAGTGATGACGGCAACAGAACTCTGAGACGACAGAGCTGGGAGGAGATGCAGAAGATGCACCAGGAAGGTGAGGTTTAAACTGATCATTTTGACCAAAAAATGGATTTTCCGGGATTAAAGGAAAATGTTCCATAATTACCAATGGTTAATGAATCCCTTTCCACATCAGAGGCTGTGTTCACAACCATGGTTGATTCCCGGCCTTAATGATCTACGGATCAAATATGGCTGACACACTTGAAACCTTACCGCGTAATCCCTGTGGAGAAATCTTTTCAGCGTAAATTTGGGAATTACACGACGTCAGGCTTTCAGTTGGGTACAGTGTATTAATTTGTACAAATTTGATAGATCAATTCAACAAGAGAAATTGCAATTATACAAAGAAATTTTGCCGTGTGAGCCATTGGTCTGAGGCAAATGTACAGATTTTTACGGATATTCAGTGGTTACAAATCAGATATTCTAAAATAACTCCACTGTAGTTTAAGTGGTCTTGTGGGATTTTGGTGGTGGTTTAAATATTTTATCCTAAAAACAATACATTTTGTTTTAACGCTAGTTGTTTTTGAATTTGATTAGTTCAATAGTTTTCTGAGGTCTACAAGTCCAAATGACCGTTGGGTTGAAAATTTTAAAGTACAAATATTTATATTTCAGGTTTAATAAAGTCAATTGGAGTGTCCAACTACACCCCCAGACACATGGAGGAGTTACTACAGAACTCTGACATCTGTCCAGCAGTGCTACAGGTGAGACCAGTTTTTAAGGACAAAAAATTTGCAAACAGCAGTCAAAAAAGCATTCAGATAAATTGTTAAAGGGATAATTACTCTTTGTATGAGATCTATATTTCACAACAAAAACATCGTAAACAACTCAGAGAAATATAATATATTCTGTTTTACCACAAAAACAGCAGTTATAGCTATTTTTTCTGATATCTGAGCTTGTCCTCAGACCACGTGACCTCCATAGATGGTTTACTCTGGTAAGTATGGGGAATGTTGTTTACTCCTGGCCCCCGTTTCACAAAAAAACTTAAGTCGGTTTCCCTGACTTAGGGCTTGGTTACCAACGTAATTAAGTCGTTACGTCACTAAGTCCCGTTTCACAAAGAATCTAAAAGGTCGCTTACGTCGTTTTTTTCTTAGCTGTAAGTCGACGGTGTCAAGCCTCCTCGGGAGGAGACTTAAGTCGGCAAGCTCAACTAAAACTCGGTAAATGAGAGCATAAACAACAAAAATTTGGAAAGAACATACCTCCTTCAAGATATTGTGTTATAATATCCTTGAATAGCACTGAGATTTATGGAATATTAAAATAAAAAATAAAATTCCACTTTACCCAGCCGATCGCGTGTTTGTTTATGTTTTTGACCGCTAGACGTCCCTCAGTAGTGTTCCATGACAAGCTAATGTTTAACTGTTACTTTGAAGTTGTATTGAAGTTAAACTAATCAATAAAGTTCAAAAACAAACTTTGTTTGTGTTTTGGCTGACTTTTATTGTTGATAAACTATTGTTCTCGGCCGAAAGAGGCCATGAAACGTCATTTCTTGTGAAACTTTTGCAATTTTACACCTCCTTTTCTTGAAGAGTTTCTCGTGCGCGTTGACTACGGTAAGCACGCCAAGCTAAGACGTTAGATTCTTTGTGAAACACTCCTAGTCAACTTCAGCTAAGTCGACCTAGCTAGGCCACCCAGCTCGAGCTAGTCGACTACGGATTTAAGATTCTTTGTGAAACGGGGGCCAGGAAAATTCATTTTTTGGCCAAAACGAAGAGTTATTTTCCCTTTAAGAATATATTTATATTACTGCTTACAGATCTAATGTAAAGGTTAAGTTTCCATAGTTTATAGGAAGATTTCTTTCTTGATTACCCCCATCCCCCGAGCACTTTAGTTATTACAGTTATTACCATTTTTCACCATCATGAGCCCTCATGTTTGGTATAAAACTCTGGTGTTTCTGCTCAGGTATTGAAATGAAAATGGAACTTAATGTATACAATGATAATGAATCGCAAAGTTTTTTATGATACATATCAGTGGTTCCTTTCCCAGTAACTTGGAATTACTGGTTTATATAAAAACAACAACTTTCACAGACTTAAAACAAACCTGTAGAAGTCTTGCTGTGCATTTTGAAAGGAACAGTCAGTGTCAGGTAAATTATTTGAAGGGTTAATATTGTTTTTCAGGAGAGATATTTATATTTGCAGGATATGCAGTAATGTATAGAAAATATGACTTTGGGATATGTTCAGATGCATACAGTGTACCTTAAACTTATTAATGATTATCATGTATTGCCTCATTTCTGTATGTTCCAGATAGAACATCATCCACATCTCATCCAGCATGAACTGGTGAAAATGTGTCGCTCCAAGGGAATACTTTTCCAGGCTTACTCTTCCCTGGGTACAACATCTGACACAAACAAGGTAATATTTTATTTACCTGTAACTCTACATTTTGGACTCTTAATTGTGTTGTGAATTACGGAGTACACATGCTAGGGTCACCAGCTAAAGTTTTTATTTATTTTTTATGGCAATTCTAAATTAGATATTTTTGTTTGTATTTTAAAAATATATAAACTTTTATTTGATTTGCTTTCCAATTTATATATATATGTATATATTAAAAAAATATATTAACTTTCTGTCATCCCTCTCTTACGGATCAAATGGAAAGTGATACAAATGGCAGGCCCTGAAATTGCACCCCTTTTTAAACATTTGACCCATTGTTTACAGTACAAGAACTTTTAGAGACACCCATGGCAGGTGCTAATGCTGTCATCCCCCTGTGTTATCATACACAGCACCAGTATTAATTTATTTTATCCACTGTTTTATTTCCCAGCTTCTATCAGACCCAGCAGTGAAGGCAGTAGCTGCCCAGAAGAAGAAGACAGTTGCCCAGGTATTGCTGAGGTGGGCAGTGCAGCAAGGAATAGGTAAATTATATATGTCCTAGCGAATAGATTTTCACAACTTTTTTTTATTTTGAAGAGAATGCAGTATTTGTTTTCAATTTTTATAAATACAACTTTATATTTTTGATTGATCATTTTAAGAATGGTAAGTACAGTTAATTCCTTTTCACTTAAAAATAGCATGCTCTCTGCCATTATAACCTCAGTTAACGTACACATTGTTCTATTTCCCTATGTACAAACTTCCAGGTGTAATACCCAAGTCAACCAATCCAAGCCACATCAGGGAGAACATGGATATCTTTGACATGGAACTCATGCAAGAAGAAATGCAGACATTAAACAGTCTGGATACACAAAAACACTACTGCTGGGATCCCAACACAATCACATGATACTGCTGAGATCTGGCATCTGCAGTTAAATATTGTGTTAGTTGTGACATGAGAAATTGTGTGAGCAGCTGCTTGAGACAGACATTGTGTTAGTTGAGACACAAGACATTGTGTTAGTTGAGATTGTGCCAAATCCTGCTTGTTAAGATCTATATTTCTTTTGATATTGAAAGTGTGATTGAAGTTCATATCAATTTTTTCATATGCAGGGTATTAAGCATCTGGTTTTGCTGTTAGCATCGTCATTATTGCCACCTTTGCAATTGTCATTTACCCATACTACCATCGTTGATACTTTCAAAAGAAAATCATGCTACATATTTATTGCAGTTACAGTTCTTAGATTTTTTTAAACTAAAAGCATTGAAAATCCGGTCGATGAAGTCTTTTTATCTCTCTCTCTCTCAAATTTTTTAGTTTTCTGATACAGCCAATTTAAGATTATGACTTTGAACTCCCATGGGTCTGAAGTCCTGTGGTAGTTGTATTGTCTGAACATGAACAGTAACCCATAAGAAAAAGCTTATTCTATTCTGTTAAATATTTTGTAACATTTTTTAATTGACAAAGAATATTTGGGGCACTTTCATCATTAAATTGACAATTCATCATTTTAAGATTGTTTTTATGTCACAGCTTGTGTCAGTTTTATATATCTCTCCATGTAAGAACTTACTAGTTCTTTATTGTAGCTGAGACTAGAATAACAATCAATAAAAATTATTTATAGATCATAAGTCTTGACATACAAACTTACTAATTTGTTTGTTGTAGCTTTGATTACAATAACAATTCATAGTAAAAAAAGTATTTATTGAACATAAGTCTTGACATACAAACTTAAAATAAAAGATGAAAATTGAGTAAGATTTATGGTTATTTTGAATCACAGGAAGTATATATGTTGCATTAAAACTATAATTACTCAATCTTTTCAATAGTAGTAAATCGTGGTTTACAGATGCCGTATTTAAAGTCTTAATTTCTTTTAAGTACAACATTTTTACTGAGTGGTAGCATCAAATTAGAAGCAGGCTACTCTATGGTTGTATCCTATGCTGTCAAAGCACCAGAAATGCTATACAGAAATATAATTATAAAATTATGTATCTGATAGTTTGATAAATGTTGACCTTGGAAAAGATCACATAATTACTTCACTTGGTATTAAAATAATTGTATGTTATAATAGTTGAAAAGATTCAAATGATGAGCATGCATGCAAGAAAAATGCATTCTTACCTTATAACTTTCACAATTTACAACATTATTTGATAAAAAATATGTAAAATTACAAGTCTTATTGAAAATACAAAGACTACTCTCATTATACCTCCACTGATAAGATCAAGGCTTTGAAGCATTCTGATAAAAGTGTTTTAAAGTTAAAACAAATTTAAACTCCATTATGTACAACAACATATTGGGATGATTTTGAACTTTGAAATTTACTTTACTTCGTTCTTCATCTTTTTTATTTGTTTAGTTCTCAGTATTGATTAAAGTTTTTTCATCCAAAGATAAATAACGTATCATTGTCTCTTCAGGCACCGTTCAATTCAATGAATTGAGAAATAAAAAAGCAGCATCTAATTCATTTGTCTTTGTAAAAATATGAAAATTAACATTTAACGCTGTAAAAATTGAAAGAACTGTTGATTGCAAAAACCGCTAAACAAGTTACATAGGCTGTAATACTGTTTTTAAAGATATCATTTGTATTAAACATCTATCAAGGACGAGAGAAAAAATATAGCTTAAATGCAAAATCAAGAATTCCAATTAAACGATGGGATATTGTGAATCTTGCAACTCATATGATTAAGCCAGGTATCGGGGTCAAACAGACTCAGTAACTAGTATGGTTGATAGCAGACCACCATTCCTACATACCGACACACATCCGAGAGTACAGCTGTACGTATTGCCAGCTGCGAGAGCGTCGTACAATAACAATAACTACAAATCCAGGCCCGTAGCCCTTTTGCTGAAAAAAAGGTCCACTCTGGGTAAAATTTTATCTAGGTACGTGCAGGTTTCATGGTAAAATTTTGAAATTGCTCGCTACGGCCCTGTAATCTTTTATCTTATACCACCTTGATGTACTCTTGCCACATCCAGCCCTGTTAAGCTAGTAAAAAAAGAATCAGTGATAGACTTACCTGTATCGATGACAAAGTTTGGCTATGTTTGATAATGGTATGGAAACTAGCATTTACAGTCACTGGTGCGGGACAGAGCACCTCCACATTAATGGAGATTATGATGGCCTTTGAGCCTCTAGAAAATTCAGGTTACGCACTGTAGATCTACGTAGCATTATGCTAAACAAAATTGTTAACTTGGTTTACAAGTGGCGACTGTATATAAACATGGGCGTAACTAGGCATACGCACGGATGCACTGTGCGTGCAGTTTTTTGGGGCAACCATGATATTATTTCATAGAAATTTAGTGTAGTTTTCACGGAATATAATATAAAATCCTCTGCGAGTTAAAGTCACCTGTGTGTACAAACCCTCTGTATCAATTGTATACGCACCATTGTTCTGACATCCCATTTTGCATACTTTTATTCAACTGAGGTAAACAATGCCTGATATATTTACAAGTCCATCTTAATCGTCCATCTAACTGGAATTTTCTTTACCTCTTAATCAGAGTGTTAAGTGGCCTTCAACTCTCCTGTAGCCTTTGTCTTCAGAGTATCGAACACACTCTCGCTGGTGATATTTATCGCAGGTAAAAATCTACCTCTTGGTTATTTTCAAAGAGCAGCTCCAGCGGGCCTAGGGGCACTAGATTAAATCTGGACACCAAGTTTAATAAAGAGCTAGAGAAACAAAGGAAGAATTTTTCCGACAAAGCTTCATAGGAATTTTAAGACGGACTTGATCCAGCTTAGCCTTTCAAACTAACAGGGTGACAAGGGCAATTTTCACAAACAAATAATTAAACTTAAGTTTATGTTTCAATTAGCCTCTTTTTAAATAAATATACCGTTCTGGGTAAATTAGAATATTGAAACTTTATCATATCGCGATAATATTTTTGAATTAAAATTTAAATGATGATTTTATTCTTAATGGAAATTAAGCTACGATGTGTGGTACATATGCTGTGATTACGCTGTCCTTCATCTATTGAGTTAGTTTAAATTTTGCTGTGCTGGGAATTTTAAGATCTGTGCGTACAATTTTTAAAGGTCTGGTGACGCCCCTGGTAAACATGGTTGGTAGACGAATTTCAGTTTTAATTCAACTATGGTTAATGAGAATAGCAACTAAATTCTGTGATCAATCAGCATTTTTAAATACTGTTTATTCAAAGGGTTGTCCAATCCAAAGTGTACGCAATTTAAAAGCGTTAAAGAAATACCATGAAGGGCTTCCATATGGCTAATTGTAAATGTTTCCACATTACACACCAATACCCAATCCGTTTTTACATATGTAAAAAGATTATTTCCTCCGGTAATGGGTAGGCTCTATTGTACATTTGTAATGTAATACCAATGTCGGTAATAGGAAAACATTGCATACGGGGGAGTAACGATGCAGGGAAGCAACGATGCAGGGGAGTAACAGTGTGGGGGGTAACGTATAACGATAAGTTCACAGGGCATGTTCGATGCGGGGATCTATCGATGTGGGGCTGTATCGATGAGCATAATTCAGAAATTTTCTAGGAGGGAGTATGAGTGTGTGGGAGTACCGACAAGAAACCATTAGCCCCTGATGTCACTGGGGTCTGGCGCAAAATAGAAGATTCGACTATTTCCCAAAAACCACTGGTGACCCCTGTGGTCAGTGAGTATACCATGATCATGTTTCTCCTGTTCTCTACTTCATCCACAAAATGTTCTATTTTGAAAAAAAAACTTGCTATACTTATTGTATACATTTTTGCTTCTGATAATATTGAGAGGGAATCAAAATTTGTACTGCAGTATGGGTTTAATGGCTGAGAAGAAAAATTGAGGACAGCTGCTAAAGGCTTTCAATACTTGCAGGCGGTTTTATATAACCGCCTGCGGTACTCATGAAGGCGATATAATATCCCACAGGGTTTGCGACCGCTTGGCCAAATTGAAAAAAACATGTTGCCAAGAAAAATGAAGTATATAATTTTTATTAGCAATGATATAAGTGATGTATGAATTTGACGTTGTATTGTATTATGGCAGTGGGTTGTGTTAGATGTGACAGTATGTGACAGTGGATTGTGTAAGATATGACAGTGGATTGTGTTAGATGTGACAGTATGTGACAGTGGATTGTGTTAGATGTGACAGTATGTGACAGTGGATTGTGTTAGATGTGACAGTATGTGACAGTGGATTGTGTTAGATGTAACAGTATGTGACAGTGGAGTTTTTTTTTCTACTTTTGGTTTTATGGGCGATAAGTTAAAAACCCTTGATGTTCTCCTCGCCTCCACACCACCATTCTACTTCATCACTGTCAAGTTCATTACGGAACCACATGAGATAGCGCAGGCGTATCGGACTTCAGTGCGCAACCAACTGGACTTCCAGACGGACGCATAACATTTCTTCCTACGCGGTTTTTTCATTTTTTGATGGAAACCTTCAATATTTCTTCTCAAGAAGAAGACGCCCTACTGGGCTCAGGGGTGGGTATTACCCCCTCTGAATCGAGAAACATTTTCTCAGCGATTGATGGCCTTAAGGGCACTATGGAGGCTGTTGCCTCCAATATACAGAAAATGGGCGAGGTTTGGGCGACAATGGCAGCCGAAAAGAAACCCGCCAAACGCTCTGCGACGGTCTTTGAAGAAGAAGAGGAAGGAGACGACTCCTCCTGCTCCGATATTGACAGTCCTATGGACCATCAGNCGGGACGCGGTCCAACCGTACCAGCCAAAAAACTGGAAGAGGCCGGGGTACAACCCCCGGCACGGACAGGGCTACAATTCCCGAGAGGGACACCCCCAGGACTGGTTCAACAAACCAGGGCCGAGTGGCGTGAGAAGGGGAAAGAAGTTCAAGAAAGAGTAGAACCCACTATGAAGGTGAGGACTCTAGAAACATTTAAAAGTGAATTTTCACTGTTTATTTTAGATGCCGTTAAAAAGGCTAACTATGATATTCTAACTTTTGAAGGAGGCAGATTACGGTATTTTATAGACGAATGGAGATCTATAACCTCCGACCAAGAAATATTAAGAATAATTAAAGGCATGGAACTAGATTTCCGTGTAATGCCAGTGCAGGCAAGGCCAATAAGGGAGGCAAAATTCAATGCCTCTGAAACCGTAGAAATAGAAAAGGAAATACAGAGATTATTACAAAAGAAAATTATAGTTGAATCTCCATTCCTACATTCCTTTCCAGCGATGAAGTAGAATTACAATCAAACTTCAACTTCGGTAAGTTTCGTTTAATTTTTTAATTAAATGGGTTAAATCTTGGCTTTTAGGTTTAATTGCCAGGTCTTTAAATCGACGGCGTGTGTGTAGGCAGGGAGGCCATCAGAGTATTAGTCGGTGCTCCTTTTCAGTGACTCGGCCATATTTAGTCCTTAGATCTGCTAGTCCGCGGATCAAGTTATTCTGAATGCCTTATAAAGGTGTTTTGCATGCATATGGCTATTTTATCAACAGGGAATGCTAACAATGGCATAGATGTAATTTACACTTTTTAAAAATTATTATAAGCTGTGATCAATAAATTGTGCTGCAAATAATGGACATGCATATAAGAAAACACATTTTAACCTGATAATACTATTTTATTTACAACTTACATTATTAGATAACAAAAAGACTACTTAATAAAAAAATAAATATATACCACATATGACCATTGATATACACTTATTTTAAGCTTGATTAACATGTAAATGCCATTGGAAACTTCACATTGCCAGTCAGGCAATATTTTATAATTATCAAATACAGAAATATTGGAATGTCGGGATATAGTTCATGAACATGTTGATAAAAATGATAAAACAATATTTGCACTCACATTATAAAGCAGCATCAATTTTAGCAAGTGTAGCCCCTGCAAAAAAAAATTGTCTCATTTGGCGTTCATTTATGGTTCTCAATCTATTCTAGAACATTTGGTGTACTTTTTACAGTTCAGATGTTTTTTCTGTAATGAATGTCACAGTTAGGGAATTGTTTTGGGAAATCCTTCAAATTGATTTAGAACATTTTTCGTTAAAAAAGAATTACATTGAAACTGAATTCTAGGTCCCACTTTCAATGACCACTATGCACATACACTACACATCATTTCGCATTAAATCTGGATTATGTTTATCCACTTATGACATGCATACAACTATATGTACATACACATCTGTGCCTGTTCACTAAAATACAATATGTTTACAATGTCCCCGATGGAATTATACAGCCATTATCATATATATTCACCGTATAAAATAACAATTTGTCACATTATTTCCACTTTACCAGTCAACTATCAGTCTGGGCAATGATAATCAAATACATAAATATAGACATGCCAGTTCATGAACATGGTGATAAGATGACAAAACAATATTATCACTCACACCATGTTTGGCAAAGGTGAGGCAAACAGTAACACATTCCCCACTTTCAATGGCCATTATATACACACCACTTAACATTTAATCTACGTGAGTTTTTCTTTATCCACTTATGCTTTTAAAAAATGTAGGGCCTATCTCGACCAAATAACAATCCCTCAGATTACTCTTCACAAGGCAATGTGCTCAAAGAAGTTACATTGTCTTAAAGGTCACGGTCACGTGCGGATAAGAACTGACAGACAGTGCTCTCTACCTCCACTTAAAGGTCAGGGTCACGTGTGGGTATGACCTGACAATGCACTCTATCTGCTCCTTGAGGCCGTCTACTCTGTCTTCCCAATTACGAGATAAGTCAATCTCCATTCCGATCTGCTCTGACACTGTACATAGAGATTGCACCAATGCTGTGAGTGGTCTGGTAATACCACAGTGCAAACCCAACTTATTGTCTGCCAATGAGAAGTGTTTCAGCTTAGGAGTGTGTGTCACACCGTGGCCCAGTTCAAACACAGCTTCACAAACATCCGGGCACCCATGTTCTTCATTCTCAACCTGATCAATATATGGACAATTGTCATACTCGAAAACACCTTCCAGTTTTATTTGTTCCAGTCCTGACACATATTGAAGGTTCTTCCCTAGTATCATAACACACTCAGCAGTAAGGAGAAAATCAATAATCGCTAAGTGCGTCAGACCACGACTGAACGGCAGCTGACCTCCTATGTCTTTTTTCAAGTTTTGACATGTAACGCGTTCTAAATGTAAACACTTCAATGCTGACATCTGCCTAAGGATCTGAGTATCTACTGGTTCTGGTGCTTCACTAACTGGTTCTGGTGCTTCACTAAGATCCTTCCATTGTCTAACAAGCAGGTTGCGGAAATTTGCGGGGTTTTGTATTAAAGATAGGTATGAACTATCAAAGTCTCTATCGATACAAAGTGTGTTTAAGTTAGGCGCATTGGACAATACATGTTTTATAGCATCGGTACCGAGATTATTACATTTTTGGCTATCATCCCAAAATACAAATGAAAGATTCCTGAATAATTTACACATCATTAATAAGGGGATCGTTTTATCTTCCATTTGCTGTATATCATGCCTTTCAAATTCGTCGTCCCATGAGTATGGTTTGCTGTCAGAAATGACAGTATTGACATCTTGGAATACATTTTTCCATATCTGTTTATTGTTGCGTAAACTGTTGTCCAAGACCTCCTGAAATCTGGGATCATAGTGTCTAAAGGAGTGTGGTATGCGGAGTATGGTGTGCCAGGGGGCAAGCTCAGGAGTCAAATCACTTTCCTGGGTACAGTGGGCATACCAGTGTTCTAGGAGGAGATCGTTAAAATATTGTATGTACCAATCAGCAATGGTACTATCAAAGGGATAATACCATGAGATGGTATGTCTGTCGTAGAAAATACTGGTTTCACCTCCAGTATTTGGAGAATAAATGTGTTTTAGAGTTGCATCCATCTTTGCCAGCTCTTGAACTCTAGGTCGCACTTTGCCAATCGCCTGCTCTGATAACCCACATAAGAAGCACAGCACATAGTTCATGTCATAGAGCCTGTCAAGGGTGTTTAAGCGTCCTAAAAATTCATCTAAAACATGATCCTTTTCACTTATTGTCCAAGAAAGGTATTTTGCAGCAAATAGTTCTTGGATGGTTTTATGAGGAAATGTTACTTGATATTTCACATCAAAGTTACAATGTACTTTGGACTTGTTGAGGAGACCTAAACTGTACAACTCACTGATGTTTGGAATCGATTTCAAGTCTTCTTCATCAAATACAAGACCCCCATCTGGTTTAAACAGACCCTCTAAAGCCAGCTTACCAAGCTTGAAAAAGGCCCCCTTGAATTCTCCCAACTTTTCATCCAATTTTTCCTGTGAAATGATTCCATGTCTTCGTCTTATGAGCAAGTGTATAAGGTTCTCATATAGCAGTGTGTAGGAACCTAAAAGTGAATCTTTCTTAGAATCTTCCCACAAAAGACAAATGAACAGTAAAAGTATTGGTATATTTGCAAGGGACATGAGATTCATTTTCCTTAGGTATCCTAAAAGACCCTTCCCTATTTCACCATATGTGTCCCAACAACACTCAAAATGATCAATACGAATATCATGAGCTTCTTCAAAATCACGGATTTCTTCTCTAGTCATGTTCTCCAATTTCAGGTATTCATCATATGTTTCTTTGTCATCAAAGAAATTTGCAGCATACTGAGCTATATTGCCCTCTGTTAGCCCAGTGATTTCATACACACTGTCCATAATACGTCTGTTCATCAACTCTACTGCTTTCCATGGACGAGTTGTGATGATGGTGCATACATCCTGGTATCGTCTGCGATTGATGACATCTCTAATTTCTTGTGAAGTCTTGGGGTCGTATTCATCATAACCGTCAAAGACCAATAGCACTTGGTCACCGTCAAAGTCTAGAGCATGCATGGTTTCCTCTACCACTGCTTTCGTATTTTCTTCAGAACAAGGAATTTGTATTTCAATTGCTTCTTTCAGTGTTTGACCAGGCTGAATGCTGCGTAGATTTAATATGATAAGATGTTTATATTTTGACAGAACATTGTTACAGTCTTTCAATCCTAGTGTGGCATTTGCCCAGTCTGTTGCCATCTTCTGTGTAAAAGTGGTTTTGCCAATACCTGCTTTGCCTCTGACCAATATTCTTTTTGGTTTTTTGCCTTGTTCAGTATTTTTAAATATTGAGGTGTAACTTTCAACTGAATTACAACTTATGCCTTTGGGTTCTCTTTTTTCTTGTACCCATTGTAAGTTAACATACACATCGTCCATGTGCATTGTATCGTCGGGGTCCCAGGGAAGTCGCTGTATCTGGCTCATATGATTGATGTAAACGTTTGCTATTTGGTTTTTACTACAACAACTGGTCGCCTTTTCTGCTAACGAACCTGCAAGTTCTTTTTTGTTGTGTTTTCTCAACACTTCAACAAAGGTGTCAAATGCACGAGGACCACATTTCGGTAGAATACAGAGAAATTCAAAAGCTTGGTCTTGTTCCGTCTTTTGAGCCTTTATCTTATCTGCATTAAGTTTACTAAGGATGCCGCTGGCCACCATGTCCGGGATGATGCCCTCAACTTGGAGATCTGTTATCAGCATTTGGCGCATTTGTACCAACAGGTTTTTGTGTGTTGGGCTCATTACAGGTACCTGATAATTAGAAGACAATTTTAAGTTTTTGTGCTAATATTAGAAACTGAAATGAAACTTAAAGCTGGAATTGAAAAACATGAGTGCCATCTGCTAGTAGTTCTTATTCATGAACAATACAATGAAAAAGTTGGAAAAGCAGGTTGGTGGTTTCCTATATTCATTGTGAAAAGCTAAATAAGACTATAAAGTATAGTGCAACATATGACTGGTAACTTAAAGTATTAAAGAGAAATAAAGTGAATACAGAGAACGACAGCTCAGCACAAATAAATATACCACATGTGAAGTATAAGATTAACTAAAGCCCCCTTTACACTGGACGGCGTCCTTTCTGCGTCCAGTAGCACGGCCCCATTTAAGAGTTAAAAATTATAATACTTTACGTGCCTACAACTGGTCGATCATTGAGCATTCATTCTTATACAAAATCAATGCTCGTGCCTCCTTATTAAGACCACAGCAATGCCAAATTTCATGATCGCAGAAAGGACGTAGGAAGGACGCCGTCCAGTGTAAAGGGGGTATAAGATATACAAACGTAGTGCACATTTTATGCCCCTGTATACAGAGTGGAATTAAATGGGTCCTTAAAATACCCCCTCCCCCCAACGAAGCAAAAACAATTTAGGCTGAGTGATGAAAATTCTGAATGTACCTGACAAAAGGCAGCATCTGGTTCGGTCGTATGGAGTTTGCTGCCTGCAAAAAAAGTATATTTCTTTCAACTACAGTGTATGTAGTTCTTAGAATAAAAAAATATGAGGCAAAATAAACAAATTCAGTAGGTATCACACTTGTTAAAACGATGCAATTTTAAATTTAAATGTAGTTCTTTTTATTTAATTTTGTCCAGAATGGATTATTTAAATATCCTTCTGGAAAGTTTACGGTTTTCATTTTTGGGAATATGTATAAGTTTAATTTCATTATTGTAAAAGTATGCCTCACATGGCATCAAAATCCAACCAAGCTATATGAAAAGAAAACGTGAACGACTAAAATTCCCATTTTTACAACACAGCAAACTAAACAATGATCAAGTTAATAGGGATATGGTATTGTTGACGAACTGTATCAGACATTGTTGGTCATAAGAATACATGACGGCTGACATGACTCACGTTTTGCAGGATTAACTTCTGACTTGTCTGTTCTGGCGTCTCCTATCGCATGTTTGCCTATAGAATATAATATAAAAATATATGTTTAATTTTAGTATTATTGAAAACGTTTAGTTTAGTCATATTTTGAATATGTGAAATTGATTATTTTTTAATCCAAGATCACATTAATTCATTACCACATGGAAGGTATTCATATTGATATCGAATTGAAATCCCATGCATCTAGCACTTGTTACTGAAAAAAATAATGACTGGAAATAAAACCATCAAAGGGTGCAGACCCACGCCAAGTCAGCTCATTTCCCATTGGTAATGAATATATTGAGCGTTTTTAAAGTTCAGTTGATTCTAGATCAGCACATTTCTGGCTGATCCTGTATTTTTTATTGAAATGTGTCCTTTTAAAACTTTTTGAGTTACAACAAGTAGATCGTTAACTTAAAAACTAACCAGGGCAAAGCATAACATCTGTGGGGGTATTATAATTTCAATAATAAATAGATACACCCATAACCATGAGTACCATACGAACGCCTCAAATTTAAATATTTTCAAAGGTAATCTAAATGACGGGCCCGAAGCAACACAATATATACATGTATATGATAACTGCACGGTTAACTGAGTCGATTTTGTTAAAGATAACAGGCAGTCACATCTAACTGAGGCACTCCATCACGCATAAAATATAAAGTTAGACATCACAAATGGTCATCTGGTCATGGCAGGTACTCTATTTATATGTCCTCGTGGTACATGTAGCCCAGGTGTGGAGACAGAGCCATAGGTCAAAATGGTGTTATGCTGACGTCAGAAAAGTGACGTCGACGGAGGCCCTGATGCGGTGACACAGAGCTAAGAGAGAGAGGGGGGAGGGAGAGAGGGAGGGAGGGAAAGGGTATTACCTGAACTGGTTCCCACATCAACACTTGCAAGACCTGTCACTGTGGTCTGTGTATTCATTGTCTCTTCAGTTGGTAATGGAGGATATAAATGCTGGGTGTCTACTACGTCCGTAGTTGACGACTCAGTGGAGTCCACTTGAGGACATGAATCTGAAAGAAAGACATATGTTAAATTTCGTCTTATTGAAAATGACCAGTAAATTCTTCTTTTGAATTCAAAATGAAGATTTGATCATTATTATCCTAGATCACATTGATTCATTACCACATGGAAGGTATTCATATTGATATCGAATTGGAATCCCCCTGTGCTGCATGCATCGAAGGACACGTCACACTAAGATAGGGGAGATACAAAAACAAACGAAGACTAACACATGCAAATGGTATAAAATTGAACAATAATTAGAAGAAACATACATGACATGTTAAAACATGTTTATAAACAAAAAGACAAGTTTAGCAATAAAACAAAAAAACCTTATAGTAGCCAACCTATGAGGAAATAATCCTTGCATACATAAAAACTTTGGTTGACGTTTGTTAATGGCTTCAGCAGAAGTCAGTCTTTACTGATTTTTTGTTTCATCAAACCAACTTCACATTAGTTATTTTCGCGTTGGCATTAAAAAGTTTCAACGTCACATATAATACATGTAAATATAAAGTTCTTATAACACATATTCCATTGTCCTTATCTCATACCCTTTTTGTTGTTGTAACAGTATGCAGTTGCAAATTTTTTTGTTTTGCCTTTTTCATTACTCAAGGTGAAATTTGCAGGCTGTACAGTATGCATTCATATAATATGGATGATGACCATGTCTGTCTTCTTTATCATTGTCAGTTGATAACAAATAGGATCACAAGATTATTAAGATAATTAGAAATTCATCTATACATAAAACATAGGTACTTTCAGAAAGCAGATGAAATGGCATTTGGTGCAATGATTATAATCATACAGGGAAGGTTAAAATAGGAGCAATCTAACGACAATGATTTTCAAATGTCGCTCATTACAACAAATCAGCAGGATATTAATATAAGTAGGACTTTTTTTTAATTCTCCGTATTCGATTCGACCTAAAAAGTGTTGAGAAACTGTCTCAAAAGGAAAATAAGTTGAATACGTTTTCAAAATTGTTGCATTTCACCTAAATGGAACACTTGTAGATATTAATTTTAATTTGATTATGCAATAAGCATGTAAATAAAATAAAATTCGCATTATTTTTAAATTATTTTATCTTTTTAAACTTTTAATTGCTTTTTTATTTTGACTTAGGCACGCTAGATAGATTAACTGAGAAAACGTAAAAATGAATTAAACTGTTAAACGCATCAACAAACGAGGTTGCGAGAATTCATGGCGGATTACAGATACTAACTAGAAATAAATATTCAAAGCTGACAATGTGTTTGACCTTAATGTTATGTCGTGAAGAAATGTTTTACATTACATCCTCAAACCAATAATTGGCACAAATTTGCTGCTCTAGTGTAAGAATATAACCACCTCTGTTGCATTAATTTACCCGGTGTACATGTAACAGTAATCCAAGTCCCCAAGGAACCGAGGTCCGTAGGAAAATGAAAATGGTTGTCCATAAGACTAACATTACTTGGGAATAGTAGTCCTACAGGGACTTTGGTTCCTGGCTCATAATTAGAGTAAGTAGGACTTGTATTACTGTCGGACATTTATTCCTGTTACATTCCAGCCATTTGAAAGTCCTATTCTTAGGCAACAATACCGTTAAATGATAAAACTATAAATGTATATGAAATCCTTCTGGTGAGCCATATATCAGACAAAAAATGAGAGGTTTGCAACTTCAGCTCGTCTGTCTAGTGGTTAGTGTGCAAGACCACGAGGTAAGATATCATCAATCGTTCTATTGTATCTATGGGTTCGAGACCTATCTTTGACTTGACCATACCCCCCTCTTACCCCTATTTATTACTTGTAGCAAAATGTTTAATGGTGTTTTTAATGTCTAATATGTGTTCGAAATTCCGTGCTCATTACATTTACAACTTTTTTGTTTTGTCTTTTAAGTATCAAAGCACCAAAATAGCAAAGGGTTATTACAGAACATTATATACATATATTGCAATTTTCAATTTCTTAACTATCTTGATTTGTCTTAAATCTCCGTCCATACTTTCCAAGAGCAAATTTCCAGCGAGTTTGAGGTTATTTTTCAATTTCAGTGTAAACCGAAAAATAAATCTAAGAACGGAGATCCCGTGTTTTGTGTAAAGTGATTTTTCTCTTAGGAAAATAAGGTTTTGAAAAAGAGAGAGAGGGAGAGAAAATAAGAATTTCGACACAAAACACAAAAGGTACACTCCAGTAGAAAAGGACATGAAATAATATACACTGTACATATACCTCACGGGATGAAAATAAGGGATGCCTTTGGATGGTGAATTATTTTGTGAAAAAATATCGGGCAAACCAGGCTCAGACATATTGTGCACTGAGGGAGGAGTATGCAAAAAATATGCGTTTTAACAAGTCAAAATTTGGGTTTACTAGATGAAGAATACACATAAAATAAATTAATTGCTTTTGTTTTTTCATTAATATGCATATAAACTGCCTATCGGAAAACATTGTAAAATATAAAGATAAAATGTCATATAAATAGAATAAAGCAAACGTTTATTATATTTTTAAAACTAGTATGTCTCTATATCTATTTATTCATTTCATTTCTTGGGATAAACTATATAGGACATGCGTTACTAAAATGTCAGGAACTCACGTCCCATTAGGACGTGCATTACTACATGTAGGACTTGCACTACTTGGGAGCCGTTGTCCTACGGACATTAAATCCTAGTAACGTATGTCCTAGGACTTCCATACCTAGCAATACATGCCCTAGGACTTGCATTCCCAGGACTTAGTGTTTCCGGGCGGACTTGCGTTACTAGGACGTGCACTCCTGCCACACCGGCATTAACACAACTACTGTCCTCAACTTCTTACCTGAACCTGTTTCTGGCTCCATGTTGAACTTGTCTACGGGTCAGCTAGAGGCCTGAAATGACGACAGCGTTGTTTTATTTTCAACAACTTCAAAATATATACTCCAAGAAAGCAATAACAATAATAGAAAAAGAGACATGTTCATTCACAGAAAATAAGTAAAACAGTCTTTTTATGTGGACATGTTGCCAAGAGAGACCCTAACAACATGGAGAACAACGTTCAGTTAGAGTTAATTTTAAAAGCATCATATACGACGTTATCTGACGTGCAGTCGATTAAGACGGTTTTGTAAATGGTTACGACTAAGTCTGCTAGTAGCCTATACCTGAAAAGTCTTCTTTTCCCAGCGCCTTATTCCGCACATCTGTCATTTCATCTCAACCCTTAATTAACACGTCAGATGGATGTTATTCTCCATCAGGTTCCACAGTGCAGCAGATTATACAAACAAAAATAATGTCTTCACTCTGACATTCCAGAGACCTTCTGTCCTAGGGAATGCATATTCTTAAAGTTCTATAGTTTAGTTTGGTCACCTTCTGGGGGAGGTAAAAAAAACCGCACCTGTTTAGTTTCCGTATTGATAATATTGACATAAACCATTATTTATTCATGCTACCAAATAATTGCAGAAATATCCACAAAGCATGTATAGTTTCTTTTATCGATGATGATGTCACAAAACTTTTTACCAGGAAATGTTGATGCAGTTTATCGTTTTTCAATTATCGTTTTCAATTACCAAGCCGTATTATTAATCCAATTAGACATGCAGCAGACAATGGTACAGTGTTATGATGTGACCCTAACTGAACTTGTTTTCGATTCCAAAAAGTAGAAGAAAGCTTTTAGCATCGTTAATATATTGCGCTTTAGAGAAAAAACGACAGAATCAAATAAGAATTGATTCTCAAACAAAATACACATACTGGTGATCAATATGGGTGACAGGGTTAACGATGCTAGAGACGTGTCTTTTGAAAGTGTTTGGAACAAAACATCGGTCCCCATGGAAAGATGTGAAGAACTATCCAATAACCTGAGCCACAGATGGTTTATTCACTAGATATTCACAGCTTATTTTCCATGTGCTCTCTCCTGTACATTCTTGTGAACATTTTAACATAGGGATGACGTCATCACTTAGGTGATCTCTGGTAGAGAAGGAAGAACATGCAGTGTCCCAATCTTTTTGCACCCCCCCCCCCCCCCCCCCGATGTGTTGAGTATTATTCTGTGTATCTGTTTCCCTATTATGTTTGGTTATCTGAGCCCGCATATACACTGTAAAAACAGTGTTTAGCATTTAAATACATACAACACACGTTAGGCACCTATACGCATTTAGAAATCTGTGTAAATGCTAAACACGTATAGCTTTTCAAGCGTTTTACAGAAGAAAAAGCGAGACACGTTGGCAGTGTTACACGTTTAGGTAGCACATTGGCTTAGCACTTCCCTTGCTAAGCGCATGAGGCTGCTAAACATATATATGGAGCTGCTATAGGTGTGGACTTCCTTAACGCGTGGAGCTGATGAACATCACGTTTAGCTTTTCAAGCTTGCCACAGAAAGAAAATGCTTCACAATCCCATGTATACGATCCCATAGCAAGTTTATTACAAGACTCAACAATTTGGCTTAACACTTCCCCTTGTAAACGTATATGGAGCTGTTGGAGGCGTGAAGCAGCCTGCTCGAACGCGTTGTGTCCTTCCTTGCAGTAACGTGTGATTATTTAAAATATAGGCCTATTAAGTATTATTCCAAATAACAAATAACGTTTTTACGACGTTATCAGCTGGTTACATGATGGTAATGGTATAGAATAATGTTATGGTAACGTTATGGGTGTTTTTAACTCCGTGCAAAATGATGCCCCAGCAGTTTTATAAGCGTTTTATAACATTCTGGAAAATCATTATTTAATGTTTTGAAAAACTTTTTTATAAATAACCCAAACACGACTTATGCTGTATGAACTACAGTTAGCGGTTAATTCCAAAATGGGCTTGGGGTTAGTCGGCGACTAGAGCGGTGCGATTTGTTAAATATTCGGACTCTTGTTACCAAAATAACCAGCATGCGATGAAAGCTTAAATAAACCATTATAAGAATACCCCACCATCATTCTGATGTTCTATTGTTCATTACTTCCGGAAAAAATAAGTGAACATCAATACCGTAACAATTTTATCAAAATATGAAAAAAAATGTTTTAATGTAAAAGTGATGGTTGTTTCGTGTCTTTGGTAAGCTAGTGAATTTTCCTAACTTGTTTTTCAGAAATATATTCTAATAAACTTCCTCGCAAGGTCAGGTAACAAAAGGATGAATAAGTCCCGCTGTAAAAAAAGAAGGTGGTGAGAAGTCAACTTTTTTGACAGTTCACGTACCCTGTCATATTTTCAATTCAATTTATTTCTGTACTGGTACATAGATTGTCATGACCTTGTACAATACGATATACTAATGACAATACAATCTAGTTAGTGCATTACCATTTCTCTAGTTGGTATTATGTTGCCTAGCCATTTGTGAAGGAAAAAATAATCTTTATATAATGAACATACGTACTAGTAAAATTACTCATAAAATATTCTATCTAAGCAATGAGATAAACCTTGGTATGATTATAAATTTACCATAAACATACTATAAACTTGTTACACAAAAGGATATGTTTAAAGACAGTCTCAGCGCGTTAAACCCTTAAAATAGCACGAAAATGAATTTTCCTGAAAATCTCACCAATTTCCCCATAATGACCAAGGTATATCCTATCCAAAACCGTTCAGAAAATGAAGCTACCTAATACCGTTTTTAAGTTCCATTAAATAATAAAAGACGACTCGTCTTAAATACTCAGCTACCACCTCACAGTACGGCTTCAGAACGCGCAATTTCTCGCTAAGTCTCGCGGTTTACTATGAATGAAGTACTACGGCTGAGACCCGGATGTTACTATTTGGCGCCAAAACAGCAAACATGGAGACGCGCGTCAAGTCTGAAGAGGAGAGCGACAAAAGGGGACGAAAGAAAATAGCCACTCCAGTTCGAAAGATACCAAAGAAAATTAGAGACAGACGAAGAAGCACTCAGACTGTGTATGTTGGGAGGGAGGTGGGGCGGTGGAGGACACTTAAAGCTGAGTTAGGAGGCAATGGCGAAACTACTCCTCGACACGTGAGTATGCGCTTCACAGGTCTCAAGTGTGTCTCATTATCATATTATCCTGTTCACAATAAATGACAATATTTTTGCTCATACAAAGTTGGTTACGTGTATAAGAGCGTTTTGGGCTTTACGTTTTCTGTTTTTGATCGGTACATGTACCGAAAAGGTGGACAGGCGGCATTTACATTTCTGACAAGTTTCGCTCTGTAGTCGTGACGTCTATCTCATTCTGACTGAAGCCTGCTGTGATTGGTCGTAAGCGTGGGAAAATCGAGGTCGTGACCTTGAGCCGGAGGTACTTCCGGCTGTGCTCCGAAATCATGATAAATAGTTTTCGTTTTCTAATTTTTTATTCTAGTTGTCTTAACAGAACTTTTGTGACCCAGACTTATTAATATAATAATAAACAATCTCACAAAACACAAATCTGACCAAAGTTTTACATAGAACCTGCTTCTATACATTAATCTAACCCACTGAGACTGTCTTTAAACTTAAAACCATAGTTACATAGCTGTTTACATGGCTGTTTAAGGCCAGTTTGATGACATAGATAATTACTATTAATGACAATTACATATGACAGATAAGTAAATAAGTTACACAGATATAAATATTGTGCCATGTTCAGTCCCACTGCCGAGTCACTTCTCACAACAGTGGGACCATACACTGACATTTTAAGGGATATGCTAAGAGTTACCAAGCAGAGCAACCACTTCACTTCTTTTCATGAATGGTTTGATTTTAAAGTTGGAGAGGGACACTAAAGTATCTTTGTTGGCACTGTTAAATACATGGCATAATTGACTGTCTGGTGACCTTGTATCAGCTTTTAGGATTGAGGTTTTACTATAAAAGGTGACTCGGTCTGCTTTGTACATGTACATTGGGCATTGGAATATAAAATGGTATTCATCTTCAATTACCCCTTGGGTGCACAGGCGACAGATTCTAACGCACCTTTCAGTTTTTGGCCTGGTGTGCCGCCCAGTTTCGATGTGGAGTTTATGGTCACTAAGACGTAGTTTAGCAAGGGTTGACAAGATGTCATAATTTGTTATTTTATCAACATAAGTTGCCCTTTCACACTTTTGGTTAAGTATACACAAGAGAGACAATTTACTGCTGGCTTGAAGTTTGCTATTGCATATTTGGGTAAAGTGGTCAGTTTGTCTTTGTTTGAAAATTGTGGTGAAGTTTTTTGGAGGTGACTGGCTAAGCCACACATCTCCAAGGCCAAATGTGAAAAGGATTTTTCGGATCCCCTCAGACCATGACATACAAGCTGGTCTGAGTGTATGGACTGCGGGAGGAACATAAGGTGTCAGCAACTTGTAACTATTTATCTCTTGTATGTATGCTTGTTTCATTAGTGTATCATCAGACATTTGAATAATTTTACTCCATAGTTTGACAGATGCAAACTGTATTTTGGTACAGAGGGGAAGGCGGCCATAGATAGAGATAGCTATAGCAGTTAAAGATGACCGTATGTGTGTGTGTGAGAGTGACTGAAACAGATGAAAACTTTATCACCTTAAAGTTAAACAAATACACCCTACATTTATTAGGCGTCAAGCACGTCAAAGCGTGTAACATGTTAATAGGCTAAACGTGCTTAGGTGCTAAACGCGTCGAAAAAATGAGACAATTTAAAACAGGCGCTTAGAAATGTGTCTCAGAGCTAAACACTGTTTTTACAGTATATTTATATACCGCGTATCAATTCGCTGTTTATACAAATAATTAGGTTTATAGCCAGATGTACAATATAAACGAGGCAGTCGACTTTACCACGTACGCCTGATCTTCATGGGTCCGTTCAGTGTTCTTACTTCAATTCAGGGGAGTACGGAGTCCATTCTGCGGCAGAGGAAGAACATTTAGAAATCATTCACCAGTACTACACTACCACTTCCCTATACTCCCCTGAACTAATACTGCCCCTCATCGATACTCCCCTGCGTCTTTACGTCCCAGTACCGATACTATTCCGCACGGATACTGTCGCAAACCGTTATTCTGGACCCCATACAACATACATTCCTTTGGTTTAAGTTAAAAATGCGACACCCAAAACACCATTCCGGATTTAGAAACTTTTTTTGTAATTTTATTTTTCAAAAGTTATACATTTTATTTGAAATATTGTGGAAATAACAAGGAAACAAAGACTAAAATTGGTCTGCATTGTACCTTTCACGTCAAAGATGGACATAATGAGATTTTTCATTTAACACTGTCAATGGTCGATTGGAGGAAGCGGTATACAAGTCACATGCGCTGTAATTAGGT